TTTTGCTCTTATTAGAGCCCACCAGTAGTGCACGTTTAGGGGCTGTGCTGGGGTTTAAACTCCGGACACCTCATGCATCTCTCATGCGCAAACGCGTGTTCCCGTTCACAGTTAAAAATCAGATGCGTCAAACGTGCGTTGGTGGAGTCCTGGATGTCAGAATTCTGCAGTTCAATTCCCGGCACGGCCGTTGGATATGCACTGTTGATGAGCTTCATTAAGAGCAAAACGCGAGGTTAGTTCTTCATTTATAGAAATGAGCTCACCAAAACAATCACGCCAGGATAGATGGGCGACTGTTTAAACGAGAGTGATGTGAGTGTGAAATTCCTGGTCGTCGTTTGTGACATCGGGCAAACCAGTCGGATGAAACCTGACACATTCACCCATTCATATGTGATAATTCGGGTTCGTTGAGTGAGCGCTAGTGAAGCAGTGGTAACAAGATGTCAAATGTCACAGGTTGAGTGCACTGTCAATAAGCTAGAAATACACTACCAAATCGAGTGCGTTACACGTTGGTGCATGTTCAACAAAATGCCTCCATTAAAATAAGAGGTGAACAATTCAACAAAACGTGGTAGATTTTGAGTGCTGATTCCACCATTTTTCTGACTAATGTTCATGTTTTGGTCCTTGTCTGCTCATATCCCATTTAAGGTATTATAAACGGTTATATTTCCCTTTGGAATTTCCATCCCGCCTTCGCCAAATTTGACACCTTTGAACTCAGTCCTATTTTCTCGGACTAATAAAATCGTAAAATGGCCTGATTTTACAGTGCACGAAAGCTACAGCCGTGTAATACCGGTTTAGCAATCTATTTTATTTTTCTCGCACTCCGGCCACAGGAGCCTTATGGGACAAGTGTGAACGCGGAATACTTGTTCTTAATCAGACTATACTTATTGCAGATACAAATACTGAACGCTGTTTTCTTATCAAAGGACTTCAGTACTGGAGAGATCCCAAGAAACTATGTCCAATATAGGGTTTATTCCCGTGAACAGACCGTTTATGACCGCTTTCGGCAGAATTAACGGCGAAGAGGACTTGTTATAGGTAGGACGATAAGAGTCGCGAACACCCATAGTTTACAATTTAAAACCAAGCCGGAAAACGATGAAATAACCACATAACGTACTTCACTACCGTTGTTATCTTCTTATGTATGGTAAATGGCTGCTGATCTCAATTTTTTAGCCCCCATACGCGCATACCTGACCCACAAATCCGTGTAGGTGCATAACAGTGACCTCACATAACATCATGCTCCAATTAAAAGAACGAATACCCGGTTTTTCTTCGACGATCTTGTGGGCAGAAAATTAGCCACCGCAAAGCTTCAATGCACCCATGCAAACGTCTGACTTCGATGAAACTGCAGTACACCTTAGTGAATTCGAACCTGTTGCATAACATTGGATCTACTGCTTAGCTTGATGGTCAGTTGGCAAGGAATTTTCGAAAAATTCTTAAATGGTCATATTTCATTGCTTTGTGTCCAATACTGACATTAAAGTGTTACAATTTTAGTTCCTTCCAATAAAATGTCTGACTGACATTCTGCTTTCACTTGGTATCCGACCGGAACAAAAGAACATTCTCCAAAAAATCAAGCGAAACAGATCGTCTTTAATGGCTGGTATCCTGTAAAATCAGATTGTTTGGAAACGGATAACTCCATTTCATCTACCAAATTTTGTATTGTTTACTCCTACGTTGAATGTAGGACGATTGCCAAAATTAACAAAAACGTTTGTAACGTGCAATAAAACCAGTGATATAATAACTTAGTAATTAGTTATATCCCTAGTGCTTGCAGATACAAATCCTCACCTGTGTTATAATGAATGTCTTAGCCATCATAAATATTGCATTCAGGAGCCAAGCAGCCATAGTTTGATCAGTACTGAACGTTCTCCGGGTCCATGTTGAGTTTGTTGTAGCTCACAATCCCGGTATGCGTACACTCGGAACGACTATATCACAACAACTGTTTTAGGCTTGTTTTAGAATGGGAAATGACGCCTAAAATCATTATCTAGTGCAAACTTTTCTTTTCATTTCAGAAATTTGCATGTGAAACGGCGCACTTTCCAGCAGGTTCCACAGCTTTGTCTAGAATGAAATAATTTCGATAGACTTAGCATTCTTAATCCAATTGCAATCTTTAAGGAAAACACACGTTTGCAAATGACTTTTATTTTAAGGACACATATGTGACTCTCTATTTTATGCCTTTTTTAGCTGGATTTGTTGCCCGTGTGTCATTTCACATTCCATCCGTCACGATATATGAGATGTCGCAGTATAAGTTCCACATATTAGTCACCATGTGTAAGATTGGCAAGCATGTAAGTTTAGTCAACCAAAAAACAATGAATAGATGGCCGATAGAAGTATATTTTTGGGGAAAAACGCATGAACAACCTGATCATGAGAAACTACAATAAAGCTGAGCGTCACTGGGCGCGCGGCTTACTGACACAACTGTCTGTACCTGTCTCACAACAGCTCATTATACTTTGTTCAAAATAATTCCGTTTGCACTTGTCCGAATAATACAGTAAGTATACTGGGTAGACAAATCTGGCTTATCTCTGACATACTTCTGCGCCAAGCGGCATCATTCCCTTCACTGAACCTACTGAACCCATGATACGCAAGGATAACACTTCTTTGTGGACAATGCTACCAGAGGGTAAACCAAGCCCAGATTGGGGTCCGTTCCCCTGTGGCTTAAAGTTTGTATGCAACCTAGTGAAGAGATGCGCTTTATCGGTCGGTTTTTATCAATGTATTCTGTATTCCCACTTAAAATATTGTGAATATGTCATTTTTTCTTGAATATCTTTCTGGCACCTTCGTAACTGTTAACATTCGGACCCCGAGATATTCCATAAAGGAGAATGTCGATAGCTCAGGTAGCGTAGATGAACTTTGACCTGTTCGCTGAGCTGGTCAATTTGGTTGCAACCAAACTACCCAGGTCAGCGAACAAGCCAACGACTCCTAGATATGTTTTTATAAGATTTATCATGCTTGCTTATCTTTGCCAATGAATGAATAATGCAACTTCGCTGGTTCAATAATGCAAGTTATGGCTAATACTTTCGTGGTGAAGACATTTCTACTCAGCTGTGCAAATGGAAAATGTTATCAACGTTCTGCACTATGAACTTATACACACTGAGAGTGTTGCAGTCTTATGTTGATATGTTTAACTATTTCTACCATTGTTGGCATTGCTGCACGCGATAGTACCTACGTAGGATGTGTGCCATTAGATCGGGTTTGGCCGCAAAATCCTTCCTTCATAAAATATTATCTTCTTCTCCTTCAGTGGGTATTAAAAGGTCTTTCTGCTATTTCCTCTCTGCATTTTATTAAAAATTTTATTAAAAAGTTGCGAGAATCAAACGACTTTAAACTAAAATTAAGATATCCTTTTAAGCTCCTGCAGCACACAGATTTTGGTCAAACCACTTTCACAAGGCGAGCAAGCCATCCGTACTCAACTCAACTCACAAAATCCGTGTTCCTGCTGTGGGCATGTCCTGAGAATTCAGAATTCAACTTTCTTCAGAATTTGTTCCGAAAAAAACTATTTTTGTATTATTGCAAGCGTTCACTTAAAGCCGAGATTTTCAGATACTGCGTCTAGTAAGGTGAACGTTTTACTGTATGGTTTGTTAGCTCATTAGTATCACTGTGCATATATAAAGTGCATATATAGAAACTGCTCCTTTGTCCACCAAAACTGCTTCGCGCTGAAGCTTAACACCAAACACAAATGTCCTATTCAGTAAAAGGTTTAATTTTAGGTCTTGTGCGTATTTAGGGGTTTCCTTTTATTACTATAAGTATCTCACGAATGGTATACATGCATACACACAGGAGAGGCAGTCTCGTACAATATCTTTAAGCATAAACCTCAGTCTTCATCGTTTAAGTTTCGCTGCGGATTTATATCAAATTTGATAGAATAAATCCTCCACTGGTGAATCACTCAGAGTCGGTGCATGCAAGAGAGGTGTTCACTAATAAGGGTATACGTTGGGGTTTCTGGCTTGAATTACCTTCCTGTCATACCCACTTAGAATTAAATGCTTTCAAATTCGCATAGAACTACGTTGTGTATAATGACATACAGAAGTACCTAGTACAGTTATTAGTAAGGCAACTAGGCTGAAGTCAACCATATAACGTGACAGTATTCCATGCCGTGAATGTCAAACGGTAAATGTCAAAAATGGAGAAATACCAAAGTACCAAGACATCAAAAATATAAACCCTCTAGGAGTAAGGCAGAGAAAAATGTTCGCTTATTGATGTGAAAATTTTAGTAGAGCACTGCCGGTGTTTTTACTATTTCCTCTGCTCCATGGTGCAGTTCCTACCGTATCTTTCAAGGTGATGGTAGCAAAATTTCAGCCAGTTCGGCGATTGACTACTGCTATTATCCTTTCTTTGCTGACCGAACTATATTGCTTCCTGTCTACCTGATATTTAGTTGCGTTGAGCAGGTCTGAATGATCCTTTATTTGTGTATAACAAAAGCGAAAATACCTATAGCTGCAAAGCTGCAAGCCCCTTACTGGAATGCAAATTCTTATACATTAGCTAATTACGGGTAGGTGCAGCCGGTGAACAACTGACAACAAGTTAAAACCACTTTTGGAGCATTTATTATAATAATGGTTTAAGTAAGCATGAGCCTGATTGAACACCTCACTTAGCGTAGCTTGAAACATAAAGCTATCTATGATATTCAAACTTGAACGTCTGTAGCCTAATAACTCTTGCGGCCCTCGCAAACCAAGAAATGAGCAAGACAAATGATGACATAAACGTTTATTGTTCGGGCTTTATTATTTTAGTACCAACAGGACGCTTGAATTACAGTTGTTGGTGAAATAGAAAAAACAATTGCGAAAGAACTAAAGGTGTCTCGACTCACTAGTCATACTACAATAGATTTATAGGTTTCTTGAGTTTCACCATTTTATGCCTTGGATAACTTTCCAAAGTGTGTCGGCGCTTGCGGTGATTTTCTTCTGCTCTTGCTCATTCAGCTGCTGTGGTACGATATGACTTACTCCAACGGAGGTCAGCAAACAGGGTAAGCTGAGATATACATCATTTTGAATACCATGGATGCCTTTGGCGCAGGTTGTAAGTGGGTAAACCGCATGTAAATTATGGAGAATTGCGTTGCACAATGAACGGCAAGTAAGCCCAATTGCCCAGGAGGTATATCCTTTCAATCTGATTATTTCATAAGCACTCTCAACCACCTCCTTGTGTATGTCTTCAAACTTTTCCGGGTCATCTGGTGTTCCTATCTTTGGATTAATTGAGGACAATCGGACACCAGCTACGTTGACATTACTCCATATCGGCACACTCGAATCTCCATGTTCACCAATGACGTAACCGTGTACGGAATTCGCTGCCACCCCCAATTTTTCTCCTAATAGATAACGGAAACGGGCAGAGTCAAGCATTGTTCCTGTGCCGATAACTCGATGAGGTGGAAAACCACTGAGTTTAGCAACAACATAGGTCAATACGTCCACGGGATTCGACACGACTACAATGATGCAATTCGGACTGTACTTCACGATATTTGGAATCATTTGCTTGAAGATGTCAACATTCCTCTGGACAAGATTTAGCCTTGATTCTCCTTCATTCTGACGAGCACCAGCTGTTATTACAACAATATCAGAATTCGCACTATCTTTGTAATCAGAGCCTCCGTGCACGTTACATCTCCTCAGAAATTGTTGCCCATGTTGCAGGTCAAGCACCTCACCTTTTACTTTATCTACCGCAATGTCAATTAGACAAAGCTCTCCTGTTATCTCCATTAACGCGAAAGCAGAGGCCATGCCCACGGATCCCACACCAACCACAGTGATCTTTGTCCTCGGGCGAGATCTTACATCAGATGGCGCCACAGGTTTCAATATTGATGACATTTTCTCCGCGTCTGATTTTGCGGCCTTGGTTGAGTCGAAAGCAACTGATAAATTGTTTATATAACCGCCTAAATCCAACGCCAACCGTAAGTGAGTAAAACATTCCACTTCAAGGTCAGATTAACCTAGGCTTCTGCCCGATTTCCTACGGCCCTTTTCCGTTCTTATCGTTCAGTCACTTCCATTAGCCTAAAAGGCGATAGGGAAAAACGCTGGTCATAGTATTATACGACGTTCTTGAGAGTGAGTGATAAAAAACATCAAAAATTACTTGAATTGGATGGACAGCTTCTCGAGGGCGGTGGTTCAACTTACCCACTATCCGAATTGAGAAGCAGTTGCCTATTACCATAATTATTGTTGAGGAAATACTGCCGGTATACTACCGGTATTGTTGATTCTGCTCGCTGGTTCTGCGATTTTCCGAGTGAACGCGAGAGTGCTAGCTGCTCGACGCAGTTTGGTAGATTCATGACCGCACTAACGAAGTAGGCTTGGACAACTTGATCTAATATGAACCACATGGGCTTCGTAACATTTGGCGTCTACTTTCTGAAGTGTTGAGGTTTTTACCGGTCGCATGCATGCCTTTTCATAAACGCCAGGGTATGTCTTTCAAATTATTTCCAGTCCCTGTGGTGTTGGTACCGAAAATTTCCGACGGATTCCTAACATGGTCTATACAGAAAGGTTGTTGATTTATGCAGCGCGTAAACCTTCACAAAAACCCAGCACAGCCAATTGTTTTGAATCACGGGGTGTTAAGTACCAAAAAGAGAATCTTCATCCCTTTTTCACACAGTTTTGTTCCATTAAGCAAATAAGTTTTTGAGGGCATAGCAGAAATCGTCCATAGTCCTATGCCATGGTAGAATTTAACATAGTTACCCGAGCTTATGTTATCCCCATGGCAATTCTAGGTTACATCCTCTTTCTACCAGAGCAGCTTAAGCATGTTTCGGAACCGCGCACTCTACCTGAGAGCTCTGATCGGCGTTCGCCTCCTAGACGTTACGTTGCCTATTGCTACTACGATTGTTGTGGCTGGTAAGCTCAACATGTGTAGGCAATTAGAAGTAAAATACAAATTCGATTCACCGCCCCGAATTAGTATCCTAACTGGAATGCATGTGGTGAATGCATATCTTTCCTCCGACACTGGAATCAGAATGGACGTTTGGCCATTGGGTACTATCGGATGTTGCCCCTTCGGGCTCTTCGTCACCATTTGCACGACCAACTAACACACCACCAAGATATTCGGAAAAAACTGTGCACCTGTAGGTTCTCCTCACACTCAAGTCCATGCCGGACCTTGCCGCTCGGCTGTTGCTTTAAACTAAAATGCCCGGTACCTTTCGTGAATCAGAATATCGGCGAATCGCTCGACAACAAAACAGCCTTCAGCTAGTTGTTGGTCTGAACAATAAAACTGATATCTTACAGCCCTTTGTCAACCCTGGCCATAATGGATCAGGTTTCTTCGATTCCACTTGTGGCTTACTGGAATCTGTCAGAGGCAACAAACCACGAATTTTTAAAGTCGACGCCAAGCAATTGTCTCAGCGAATGTTGCCGAAAGTGAATTCGGGCGCGGCTTACTGGACTTCTCGGGCGCTCCGTGGGCTGATCTGAAATCGAAGTCAAGAACAGATTTGCCGCAATTCCTGTCTTCCTGAAACGCGCTACAGCAACGCAACTGCGATGAAACCATGGTACACTGGCCAGCTACCATTCTCTGGGCGCCTGAGTGCGCCCGTGTACTAATCTAGAAAAACTGAAATTATCCACGATCACGGTTGATAAAATCACCGCAGTGTTTGGCGTCATCTCTGAAACTCCAATTCCGGTGCTTGGTGGCATAATTTGATAATATATATGATCAGCGTGGTTTAAAAATTCTCCTGGAAAAAGCGCCTCACCTGTCACTTAGTGTCGATGTTCGAAATGATTAAGCCAATTAGGCCGCAACCGCCTTCTGTATCTCTTCATGGTTTGATGCTCCCACTCCACTGCTGAGGACAGTTTGTAGACGAAAATTATTGCATTTAAGCCTTTTACTTATGTGTTGGCTTTTTTACGTAGTGAATTCTCGCCTTAAGGGTCACGAACTGGATTCTATTCGTTGAACTTTTGGTGCTACTAAACACATGCTAGTGCGAGGCATTGAAATTGCATGTGGCACATCACCATAGCTGCTTTTGATGGTCTATCGTACGTTTGCAAAATACCAACTTCGTTACTCCAATATGACGGTTGGGAAGTGAAATTCCCTGGGACATGTTGGTGCCACCACAGCGTCCACCAATACTCGACAGCACGTTGAACACACTTTTTGCCCTTGAGCCCAGCTAGCCGCACCTTGTCATCTATGAATCCCTCCAGGGATTTAACCAACAATTCTTTCAGCCCAATGCCTCACGCGAAGGTTGTTACTGAGCTAACATTTAATTGACGTGCAAATTCACTGAGGGCCGATTGCATGCAGTTGGCCATTTTGGCACCCGCGGGGCCCGTGAGGCGCTAGTTCGCTATGCCCACACGGGTTGATTAGAAGTTGCCGCATATGAAGGAGTTACTTTATCAGATTTCGCATGCTGACTGCCCCATTACATATGGGTGTCCATCGATATCGCCCGCACTTTGACCAAAAGTGTGATTTCATCGTCTGATGGGTGCTTGAAAACCAGCTGCACCCCCGGGTCACCGTGGCGGCCTGTGATCAGCTAACCGTCTACCCCCAGTAAGGTGTAAACCAGCTCTTACTATTCCACTGATAAAGGTCTTGTGGTATGCTTCAACCGGCAATTAAGAAAAATGACATACTTCTTACTCCTCCTGTAGAAAGGGACTCCTCGTAAAAGCCATCAATTTATTCAAAAGAACTCGTATACGGCATGAAACCAGGATGTTTTGGCGAACGTGGCGCTTTTATATGATTTGAACAGAATGGCTGCAACTCGCATAACTGCCGGTTTTTCACACGCGCACTTCCATTTGCACAAAGCCTTCAAGCCCCTAATGTTCTAGCAGCGGCCACGGATATTTTGGCTTTGTGATGGTGTTTGGGCTCCCATTTATTATGAATGTCGTGAACTGTTTATCATAGCAGCTTCTTGATGACCACATAACCTTGATATGGGGTCTTCCATCTTCGAGAAACCTCATCTGTCACCGACCGCGTGGAGAGTCGCGCTTTAAAAAACATGCTCCTTTCAAAGCAACAGCTGTCCTTTCATTACATATCAGTAGCATTTTGACACAGTTGCAGCAACCCTTACAACGGCCCCAAAACTCCTGAGCATTGGACAAAATTCAGGCCAGGCAGGGATCACCTCTGGTTAGCTCGACGCTCCGGTTCATCTTATGCAATAAACTTCAAACCAGCTTATGTTTTTCCCCACTAAAAATGTTCCTTTTTGAGTTAACGGTAGCTCAAATTCCAGAATCTTTTTTCCGATAATTTGCCACACGTTGATTCGCATATATGAGGAGTTCACCTTTTAGGGATTTTGTAAAATTATCACATTATTAATGTATGGCTTCATTTTCGAGACCTTGGACGTCGTTCGAATGATCCATTTGGAGATTGGTTGTATTTAACAAAACTCAACATAGCCGCTCACCGTTGTGGATGTGAATAATTATCGAAACTAAGAGAAGGCGTTCAAAAATATTAGAATGACCTAGTTTTGGTCTGCTAAGAATTTTAAAAACATGCAATAGACCACAAGCTTTCCTGGCGCATTACTTTGCCAACTGTCTCAAGAAATTCGCTCACAGCGAAAGCATTTAGAGGACAAATCAGCAATGTTTGGCATTTGGCGAACATTTCTCAACTTATCAGAGGACCTGTAATCCTCAGTAGTGGAAGTTTTTATGAGACTGGACCCCACATAGAAGATAACACACATGCCGCTGAACCATATTCGTACCTGTCTCAAGAACTCCGAGCTCATCATGTAATCGGGATAAACGAAGTGCAAGTAAGCCAACAACCACAACTGGTTATAGAAAATAACGCGCATTCCCCTTAATGTTGAGACTCATTTTCGGTGAAAAATAAATTAGCCAGTGAATTGGAAATGCTGCAACAACCGCAATGGAGAAATCGGCTTATATTTCCCACAAGGTCTTGCTGTTGCGTTCAACGAACAGCCTAACCCATATGTTTGTCTTTTCTCTTTTCTGTGGCTTTGTTTGCAGAGGCTTCATGAAATCGTCAACATTCAGCAACTAATTTTCTTGAAGTTGTCCCCTTGAATTTTACACTGTTATGCCACCTCAGCCAATGCAACTCAGTCGGTTCGCCGACCAAAAATTGTCCGAAGGCTAAGACCACAAGCTTGGAAATAATTTTACCTTTAAACCCTCACGCTGCCCCTCACGCCACAGGTGTTCTGACATTTTTATCCACCTTTCTATCGCGCAATTAGTTACGCTCCTGCGTAAGAGGTGCGTAACACTGTGTACCCTTAAACTCCGCAATCCGTATGGCAGTGTTAGCCTTTCCAATATGGGCAACATGCACTCACTATTTTCCCTACCTTACACACGGAACCATTTAGGTAGGCACTTGCAACAGTTTCATGAACTTTTTCGTACCCTAAAGCTCTTTCCTTACAACAGACTTTGAGTATTCAAAAAACCAGTCCGCTTCTCAGTGGTTACAAAGCGCTGGTGGAAGTACTGTATGTTTGGAGCCGTGGTTACACCGGCTATCAATGCTTCCGATGCTTTCTGTTGGCCTAATCATCTGGAAGCAAAAGAGCTGGAACTAACACAGAAATGCACCATCCCAACGGTGCGAGTTCAACAACCACAAAATTCCTCCTAGGATGAACGCCGCTTAAACCGATTTTCTGTCACGTTCATTTACTCTGTCAATGTTCTGGCTGACCTTACGAAACATCTTTGGACCCACCTTACCTTACAGCACCGACCGGTGTATGCCAGTTGTTTCTGCTCCCATGTTCCCACCCTGGGTTGGGGGCACGTTA